TGTAGTGTGAGTCAGCAAGCGCATTTGCATGAAGATCGAAGCTAGATCTTCGGCAACTGGGCACAAGAGCCTGCTGACTTACTGACCGGCTAATGTCCAGTTGTTGTGCAATATAAATAATTTATGGATGGTGTACAAAAACAATGCCAAATAAGTATTTTTAATTTTAAAAATCTATCTTTATTTTCATATTCATGATGACCTAGGTGTAAATGATGAATCTATAAAAAAAAATTGATTTTTTTATTTTTTTGGTTTTTGCATGTGCATGTTAAAGCAGAAGAATAACCAAATATTTCCTTACTGTCTCAACTGTGCCTTATTTTATATTTGTGAGATCAGTAAAATTTTACATACTCGTTATTTTCCTTAAAGTAAGGAATTCACTTAGAAAATTTTCATTCGCATAGTAATTAGCAAAGCTTAATATTTTAAATAAGGGTGCGGTTTGTATAGAGCTGAGTCTCTAAACAATCAAATTAGAGCCTACCTTCAAATAGTGTCGAGAAATATGGTTTTAATATTGGAAATTTTTGTGATAGCCTTAAAATATATTTTCATCTCTAGTTATAAAATTTAAGCTTCAAACATGGTGCAGATCGATCAGATCTATGAAAACTTTAAAATCCTGAAAATTGACGGTCCAATAATGTGTTACAAGATGCAATATTTCCAAAACTTGCAATCCATTTTTTTCATATGTTTACGCATCTTGAAGCCGAGATGATCAATTTGATGATATTTGGGCGTCAAAATCACGCCCATGATGTTAAATGATTCACTTTTCAAGTCTTTTAAGGTTTCTACATATGGAATTTTTTTTATTTTGTAATCAACTTTGTAATTTTCTTTCTGAAATTAAGGGCTTCACTTTGTTTATTCTTTTTCAAGTCTTTCATAGTTTTTGCATATAAGTTCCCTTTTTCTTTGTAATTATGGTTTTTAATTTTCTTTCTCAAATCGAGGGCTCCATTTTTCCTTCTTTTATTTTGTATAATTTGTACAACCACCAATGTCATATAAATAAAATAACATATTATCTATGTCTATTTAATTCATAGTTATACACCTCATGCTTTAAAAAAACATGTGCGGAGCACGTGCATTTCGCTAGTCTATATTAAGAAAAGGAAAATGTTTTGCCAGGATTGCAGCCATATCAAAACAAGTAAAGCCATACCTTAACTCACTGAAATTTGCATTTCTAGCATTGGCAAACCTTTAATTTGATGCATCTTGGCCTGGACCATTACAATTGTGAAAAAAAAATTGAATTTCAAGCTCTAAAAATATTGTATATTGTAATATAGTACCTATACTATTCATTTCTCCCTCAAAATAAGTGTTCATAGATCCATAAGATCTGTACATTTTTTTAGTGTCAAATTTCATAATCGTCATTGGGAATGATGAATCTATGTAAAGAAAAGTAATTTATTTTATTTTGTTTGTTTTTGCATTTAGTTAAAGCGGAATAATAACCAAAGATTTTCTTACTGTCTCAACCGTGCCCTATTTTATTTTCAGTCAGATTAGTAAAATTTTACATACTTGTTATTTTTCTTAAAGTAAAGAATTCACTTGAAAAAATTTCATCTGCATATTAATTAGCAAAGCTTAAAATTTTAAAAAATAAGACCCATTAATGGATACTCTTTTAGGGTTTGTACATATTTTAGCCATTTACATACACAACCAAAGTTTTTGAAGCTTCACTTTGAGATTTTCAGTTTTTCTGAAACTTTATGATATTAAAAGCTTCACTTTTCAAGTCTTTTAGGGTTTCTACATATGGTTTTTTTATTTTTATTTTGTAATCAGGTTTTCAATTTTCTTTATGAAATTAAGTACTTCACTTTGTTTATATTTTTTTCGTATCTTTCAGAGTTTATGCATATAGATTCTTTTTTCTTTATAATTTTTAACTTTCTTTCCCAAATCGAGGGCTTTGTTTTCCCTTTCTTTATTTTATTTTTTAATTTGTACATCCACCAATGTCATATGAATAAAATCACATATTACCTATGACCGTTTAATTCATAGTTATACACCACTTTATATGCCTCATGCTTTAAAAAACAACGTGCGGAGTACGTGCATTTCGCTAGTCTATATTAAGAAAAGGAAAATGTTTTGCTAGGGTTGTAGCCTTATCAAAGTAAGTAAAGCCTTACCTTAACTCATTGAAAATTGTATTTCTAGCATTGGCAGACCTTCAATTTGATGCATCTTGGCCATGACCATTACAGTTGTGAACAAAATTTGAATTTCAAGCCCTAAAAATATTGTATATTGTAATATAGTACCTAGACTATTCATTTCTCCCTAAAAATAAGTGTTCACAGATCTGTACATTTTTTGAGCTTCAAATTTCATAATCATTATTGGGATTTAGTATTTGAGCCGTCATGGAGATTTTTGAAGTTCAAACCACATTTCTCGCTTTCTCTCATCCTATTCTCTCACAAATCATTTTTTGATATTTAATATTAAATAATGATATTAAATATTGGGACTTGATTCGATGTAAGGCTTTTACTTTGTTGTCAGAAAAGGAAAAGTGCAATATGAGTTAGCAAGCACATATGCATAAAGAATGTAGCCTAGATCTTCAGCAGTAGGCGCAAAAGCCTACTGAATTGCCAACCGCTAAATGTCCATACTAAAGATGGATATTGTGCAATATGAGTAATATATGGACGATGTACAAAAATAATGCCAAAAAAATATATTTTTAGTTTTAAAATTTTATTTTTATTTCCATATTCATGATCACCTAGGCCTAAATGATGGATCTATAGAAAAAAATTACTTTATTTTATTTTGTTTGTTTTTGCATTTACAAGTTAAAAGTAGAAGAAATACCAAAGATTTCCTTATTGTCTCAACCATGCCCTATTTTATATTTTGTAAGGTTAGTGAAATTTTATGAACTTATTATTTTTCTTAAAGTAAGGAATTCACTTGGAAAATATTTATCTGCATATTAATTAGCAAAGCCTACAATTTTAAAAAATAAGACTCATTAATGGGTACTCTTTTAGGGTTTGTACATATTTTAGGCATTTACATACACAACCAAGGTTTCACAAGCTTCACTTTGAGCTTGAAATTTTAAGTTTTCTAAAACATTTTGATATTAAAGGCTTCACTTTTCAAGTCTTTTAGGATTTCTACATATGGAATTTGTTTTATTTTGTAATCAGGTTTTCAATTTTCTTTCTGAAATTAAGGGTTTCACTTTGTTTGTTTTTTTTCAATGCTTTCAGAGTTTCTGCATATAAATCATTTTTTTCTTTGTAATTATGGTTTTAAATTTTCTTTATCAAATCGAGGGCTTTGTTTTTTCTTTCTTTATTTTTTTGTTTGTACATCCACCAATTGTCATATGAATAAAATCACATATTACCTATGGCTATTTAATTCATAGTTATGCACCTATTTAAATGCCTCATGCTTTAAAAAAACATGTGCGGAGCACGTGCATTTCGCTAGTCTATATTAAGAAAATGATAAAGGAAAATGTTTTGCTAATGTTGTAGCCCTATCAAAACAAGTAAAGCGTTACCTTAACTCATTGAAAATTGCATTTCTAGCATTAACATACCTTCAATTTGATGCATCTTGGCATTGACCATTACAATTGTAAAAAAATTAGAATTTCAAGGCCTAAAAATATTGTATATTATAATATAGTACCTAAACCATTCATTTCTCCTTAACAATAATTGTTCACCGATCCCTAAGATCTGTACATTTTTTGAACTTCAAAAGTTTTAGAGCCATCATGGAGATTTTTGATGTTTATCCCGCTCTCTCTCATCCTACTCTCTCACAAATCAATTTTTGATGTTTAATATTAAATAATGATCTTAAATATTGGGAATTGATTCGATGTAAGGCTTTTACTTTTGGGAAAGCTTTTTATGTTCCCCCTACAACATAGAAGTTCTATCCTCCCCTATCATCCAGCTGTTCATTTTTTGTCCTGAGAGCTACTCACCGTTTGATCTTAAATCCGACGTCTCAAAGTACTTTATTTTTAGTTTTTTTAATACAAATTTTCTGAATATGAAATTTGGTACGTGCAATCTTCTCATTGGGGCGCACTTAT